TTAACCACATTGACTGCCACGTCTGAAAGCTTTCAATCATTAAAATGACAAAAAAGCTCCGTTGTTGAATGACATTTTATGGTAAAAAAATGTAAATTATGTAAGAAAACATATATAATTTCTCAAATTTTTTTTTGTAAAATTGAGGAATATTCATGTACGAATGTGGCAACCAACGCATTAATAGAACGTACATAAAATAATTGTATTAAATTCAACGAATCAAAACTGTTAAGTATCACATAGCACACGTATATATCTCATTAGAAAATGAAAAAAAATAACTGCGTAATTACACGTAGAAAATATTTTTATAATTCTTTCGCATTTTATAATTTAGGATTAGTCATAAAAAAATTGGTGACGTAAACTATATTAATTAATTTTTTTTTTGTTTTCTCACTGAATGGAAAATGTGATAGAATTTCTAAACTAAATATATATATATTGCAAAAAATTGTGTTTTACAGAAACTTATTTTATCAGTTTTCGCAAAACAAAGTTACATCTGCGCATAATGCGATTGATTAATCGATGAATAAAGAACTCATCTTATATATCTATATAAGATAAGGGCATACTCACCTTATATAAACATATAAGATGAGTAAGAAGTATAAAGAGCATCTCCTGTTAAATTTAAAATAATTTAATAAATAAATAAAAGTCAAAATAATCACGTTCAAATACTATGTTGAGAATGCAATAATTCCGAAATAATAATCAATTAAAGAGTTGCTCACTTTTACGAACTTTTATCTTTCTGAATACTGTACAGTGACATGAACATGACACAACTGTTGTTATATTTCTCAGAAATAGCAACTCATGTATTTTAAAGGTATAATTTACATGTTTAAGAATTTTACATTTTGACATTCGTTTAAGCGTAATTATTTTTATCTCTACTCTTTTTACTCCTTGTTCAGCGACGGTAAATTTTAAGTTCAAATTCTTTTAAACTTGATGGAAGATCCTACATATACTAAATATTTTTCATAAGAAATATCGCTGTGTTTACGTCATAAGATAATTGAGAAACTCTGTATGAAGAAATAAGTTTCTGTGAGACACAATAATAATCTATAACGTATAAATTATATACGTATATTTTGCATGTTGCAATTGACCACTAGCCATTCACAACGCTTGAACAGAAGAAAATGTCTAAGACACCGGTTGCTGTGAGTAGCTCTGATCAATCGCAACATGGTCAAACGCTCCCTTACGAGATTACATAGTCAACAGCTAATACTAATCGTAGGGATAATAAAGACTATGTCAGAACTGTTTTATGTTACAAAATTGCAACGTTTTTACGCTGGCGTCCCATGTTGTTGCAATAAAATAAACAAAAGTAGAAAATTAAAAAAATATATATATACAGGGTGTCCCATAATAATCGCACCAGACTTTATGGGCAGGTAGAGCAGATGAAACTGAACAGAAAAGTCCTTTATCATTTTAAAAAATTCGCAATCGTTAAAAAGATATTAATTTTTGAAAATCAGCGAATAAACGCATAT